CTTGTGAGTTGAGTTTAACAGATTTCTTAACCAAATTATTTGTATCTCAAGTCATGGGAAATGTAAACCAATGGATTTAGTGTCTAATCTCTATATCATGTCAAGATTGGTAAGTAGAATATAAGTTTTCCTTCTGACCAATATTCTTGGAGAAGCTATATAAATAAACTTATTCCTGTTTCAGGGGAATTAAAATAAAGCTTAACCAAGCATGTTGAGAAGGTAGATATTGAGTAAAGTCACCAACTTTTGTGAAGCTGCATACATTTTTGGAAGGCCTAAAAGCTAAAAAATTGAACACTGACATTACTCTGCTCACGTTGTGGTCTAAGTATTGATACACTATGTCACAAGGCTAATGTTCTAACTAAAGCAGAGATAGATAAAAAAGTAGAGTTCATGGAAGTCATGTACTGATGTATACGTACCTTTTTCCCCAATATAGCCGCGCTTCCTGTTGCCTTTCTTGGTGGACCGTCCAATACTGCAAATAGACTCTATGTTTTTAGGAGAAAATCCCTTCTCATTATTGAAAACGAGCAATGTGGCAGGAGCCCCTGTGCCGGTTATATCCCGGGATGTTATGACAAACTCCAGTGATGGATCAACCCCCTCTGAGTACTCATTATCTTCTGCATTCTGTAAAGTTAACCATTATTTGTTATTTGAATCAACTTAAATTAACCATATAAGAGACAAAACTAAGATCAAAGTTGCTCATGTTGGCAAGTTCAACTGTATCCACTTGCTTTTTAATCAAGGATATCACCCAAGGATATGGATTAAGGTTCACAGACAAATACTATCACATAACTCTACTAACAATCATCAATCAAAACATTGTAGCATCTTAATCAATGTAAGCTTTGACAGTTCATCTTTACTAAATGTATTAAACAAAGTTAAAAGTTAAAAATCCTTTAAATACATTCTCCAGCACACATGCATACGCATACAAGCACACATATATCCCTTCATTTCTCTTCAAAAAGCATTTAATTTTCAAGTGGAGAAGATGATGGCCAATTAATAAAACAGAAATCATTGAACTCAGAGTTCCATAACCTTTTTATGTACTGAAATTTAACGCCAAACAAAACCCATCATGGATATACTTTTCAGTATAACGTTTATATTATGTGTGTATATATATATATATATATATATGTATGTAAGCAAGTGAATGTAAACCTGGATGAGTTCCATGAGAAAGTGGACATCTTTAGCATAGAGCTCAGCAGAGAGATTCTTGACGGCCTGGTGAAGATCTTCAGTTAAAGGGTTGAGTTCACCTCCAATGGAGAACTTTGTCATGCGTATTTCTTCTATGTGCTCTCTCCGTGTTGCCATTGCCCTACGGTCGCGAACAAAAACACAAAGGCACAGCCTTTACCAGAGAGTAGACAGAAGGAGCAACCAGAGAGTGCAAGCAGAGGGTAGAGAGAGAGAGAGAGAGAGAGAGCAAGCAGAGAGTAGAGAGAGAGCAAGAAGAGAGTAGACACAGAGAGTAAACAGAGTAGGAATGAGCGTAGGACACTAAAAAAAACTTATTTGTTCACTTATAACTCACTGTCTTTCCATTTTCCCAATAAGCTGGCGTTTGGGAGTGCTGCGCTTTAAAAATAAGCAGCTTATTATAAAAAAAAAAAAATTGGAAACTAATGTGATGTTTATTTCTAAAAGGATATAATTTTAGACTAGTAAAAAAAATATTTATTGAATTTGACAAAACAAAAACAAAAATCTATTGAATGAAAGCTTAAACCGACATAGTTGTGGACAAACATTAATCCGGCCTCTACATTTAGCTATCATCAACTTCTGAACATTATATTAATTTGACGAGATATTATTGAGTCCAAAGTATGAATCTCCCTCTCTCATTGATTTAAAAAATACATTTAATTTAAGTATTACATTAAAATAAAATTATTGAAAGGAATGTACCCTTTACTTATACACTTTTTAATTTTTAAATTGCTTTAACTTTTAATTGATGAATTTTGATCTATATGATATACGTTCTTTTAAAATATAAGAAACTTTGATATAACATTACTTAATTATTAAAATATATACATATATTTACTAATGTAAACAAATAAAACTTGTTGAGGAAGGAGGTCAATGATTCAATGCAGAGAGAGGGAAAGGTAACCTTGTCAAGGAAGGAGGAAAAAGTGAAAAGAAGAAAACAAAACAAACATTATTGATATGAAAAGTTAACTTATCGAGGAAGTAGTATCAAGAAAGTGGAAATTGATAGAGAACAAGAAAGTGAAAGGAAACATGTGGTGGTAATAATACTAGTGGGATTTGTACGAAAAGGCGAGACTTTGCATGACCTTTGGACGCTGATTCGACCACTGCGAGTCAGCCAGTCTTCTTTTTTTTCTTTTTTTCCTGTTTTTAGTACAAGATATGGGGGGAACCAGTGGGTAGGAGGCAAAGCTCAACCACTGAGATACGTCGATCACTACATTATGGGGAAGGGGGAAGGGGGAGGGGCTGAAGAGCTCAATCACACTTCATGGTTTCGAACTGTAGAAGATTGGCTCACCATTGATGTGGGGAAGTAAAGGAAGCAGCAATCCAGATTTTGCGGATGGGTCCTACTTGCTGTGTGTTTTTAGCCTATTTCCTTTAGGGTTTTGTTTCCTACTTCTAGTCTTGTAACTCAAGTCCTATAAGCTATAAATAGAACTTTTGCATCTCAGAGAGCGCAATAATCTAGAATACAAGAGGGCATAGGGGCTAAAGGGGTTTTTTCTTTTTTTTGTAAACTTTGTTCATATTCTTCTAATAAAATTTCTCAAGGGATGCACGTTGTCAAACCTCTATAAATTCTTATGTTCTAGGTTGATTTGTTTGTTTTTATAGTGTCTAATTTTTCAGTTTTGTAGAAAGAGAATTTTAGTAATCAAAATAGTTTTCATTATGATTCTTGGTAATCAGTAAACAATTTAATGGGAATGTCTTGGAGTGACTCGGATTCATGTTAACTCGGCTCCATGATCACTCTTATTCATGTTCACTCCGATTACGAATTAGTAAACATGCAATATTAGTTTTTACTAGTAAAAGTGTCCGCACGATACTGCGAGTTTTAAAACTGTCTGACATGTGTACAAAGTTGTGAAAACATGTAGTAAGTTTAAGTTGCAAAATAAATACTAATAAAATGTTTTATATGTTGCTTGTCATCTTAAAATATTGGACATATTTTATTAAACCAAGCAGCAATCAAAATATTAACAATTTGAGCTGCTATTTTTTCAAAAGAATTTGTACGTGTCTTTACATATATGCTACTGGTGTGGGAATGGGATTTTTCTGCCTTGATGTTTGTTGAAAGGGGATCTATCTTTTGTTAGCTCTACTGTAGAAGTGGTTTATGGTCTTTCTTGTCTTCTGCAGGGATTTTAACTATGTTAGTACAAATTTGGAAAATAGCAAATGTTAGTGAAGATAAACGGAAAAATTAATTAGCCAAATCAGCCGGAGCAACCAAAAACAACGCTATGAAGTTAATTAGGCAAGCTACTAGGCATAGCATAGAGCAAGTGATGATGTTTTCAGTAAAGTAATAATAAAGAATGATATGCTCATCAATGCTAACATAGTAATATATAAATCAGCCACTAAAATTTAGTATAATAAACAGTGGGGAGAGTTAGCATCCAAAGAGAGGGGCAAGAAGGGAACATAAGGAAAAATTTAGTAAAGGACAGGGGCAAAAAGGGAAGAGCAGAAAAGGTTTAGTGGAGGGTCGGAAATTCACTGTGCTGAAGAGAAAACAGAACTGAAAACAACGGTAAAAGGAGGGGCATTTCTGTCATTACACTGCGCTTAAGAACAGTGTTTAGATAGATTGCCATTTAGTATATAAATATATAATTTCTTTTGATTTGATATAAATTAGGGTATAATTGGAAGTTGAAAGAGGAAAGGTAACGTTTCTTAGCCAAGGAAGAAAAGTGAAAAGAAACACCGAAAGCAAAAGAAGAAAAACAAACAAACATTATCAAATGAAAGGTAAAGCTTCTCATGGAAGTAGCGTGGCGAATGTGAAGGAACTGTGTAGTGGCGAATCTTGATGGGATTTGTACGAAAAGCAAGACTTTGCCTGAGCTGCTTTCCATTCTTTATATCTATAGCCACGCATCGTCCCCAAACGAAGTTACAAAATCACCTAGTTTGAAATTTGAAGTAAAAAAATGGGAGCTAATGAAAGCAGGGAAGGCTCTTGGAGCATCAAGGACGTGCCCAATGGTGTAATTGCAGCTGCCGCTGTTGCAGGAATGGCTCTGCTGGCCTATGGTTTATATGGACGTGTTTCAGCTTCAGAGCAGAGGAAGAAGACGATGAAAGCTCCGGGCAGAGGTGACCAAATCTCAAGGGATGATTTTCAGGCTAACCCAAAAGCTTATTTCAGAGACCTCCGCCGCAAATAGAGAGCCAGTCCCACTGGGATGGATGGACATGGGAGGATATTGGAGCACTTGCAACTCAGAGTCACTGCCCTTATTATATGAATCAATACTCTTGTAGCAGTCTCTGTTCTATTATGCATAATATGTCCTTGTTGGATTGAGTTCTGAGTTCATGGACCAAAATTGTTGATTAATAAAAAATAAAAAAAACAGTCGAGTTTGGATCATCGAATCAACCTAAAATTACTCTGCTTCAAGTATGATTTTGGATTAAAATTCGGATCAAGTATGGATTAAACTTTTGATCAAGTGAGAGAGGGAGGATTCGAAAATGCGACATATTCTATCGTTAGGAAGAGAAATATAACCACATTCACACCCAAAGCTAGTTAAGCATATGAGTCACTCTTCTTGATTGAATGACTAAGAATCCTTCCACTCTCCAAAACGAGGATCATTATGAGTATGCAATATTCATAATGAATGCAACAAGCCATGATGTGCCACAACAAAGGCCTCTTGTGAAAATATAATTCAACATATCTGACATATTATTAGCAATCTGGCAGAATCATAAGACAATCCCATTAACAAAAGCACACAAATAAAGTTCACAACACATATTGACAGACTGATACTACAAACAAATTACATTGACAGACTTACCTTCCTCTCCACCTCTATATATAAATTTCTAATGCAAAGATAACAAATAAAGAACGTAAACCAAACATTACCGCAAATGTTTCATACCATGCCTAGGTGGAAGAAGGGAAGGTAGAATTGAGAAACTCTTCATCCTCAATGAAGATTTGCAAATTCTTGGACTTCATCAAAAAATCAACTGCTTCCTCATTGAATTCTAGCACAAAGGCCAACTTGATCAGCTCAGAAAGTGCAGGGATATGATCAGTGTGCTCCCACAAGACACCATCAGATATTACTTGAGAGAAATATGTGGCAAACTCAACGATACTTTTATGTCCCCCAGACCTGTCAATTTTCTGAGTGAAAAATTTGGACATCTCTCTGTCCCATCTTATCTTGCGGCTTGCTCTGATATTCAAAATCTCCCCAGAAGACAATGGTAAGTTATAGTTTACAGTGATCGGTTCAGTTGTCTCTACAACAGTGAGACTGAGAAGACCTTGGACAGCTTTTTGCCTCGTCCCTGCTTCCATTTCAATGGGAGGGCAAGCTAGAAAACCAAGAATCAGCTTGAGCAGCTCTTTCCCGATCAATTTCTCCGTTGGAATTACCTGTTGATCAACAGCATTTTCTAGGGACAGTTCTTCCTTCTGTACAGATTCAGAAATAGCTCGAACACCAATTTTCCTATACATTTCAAGCAATGTAGTCCGAGGCAACTCAGGCAAGCTTGGCTGAGGGTACCAAACAAATAAGGGGTGAGTAGAAGATTTTTCAAAAAGATCCTTAAGTTGAAGGTCATCAGGAAGGAAAACGTCGCACTTGTTTAACAACAAGATTTCATCTGAGCCTGAAGTAACAGGTACTTTCACCAAGGCCTCAGAAAGAGCTTTCTCTGTTTTTGATTTATTTTCAGGTACTTTGACTGAGACCTCAGGAAGTGCTTTCTCTGTTTTTAAATTCCGGTTCTTTGAAACAACATTTCCCCAGAACTTGCAACATTGATCATGAGACAATCCAGTTTCAGAACTTTCCCACACCTTCCAGAGCTTGCAGTAGTCATCAGTTGATGGACGGGACTTTACCTTGTAAGCACTGGAGAAGAACCCGAGTAGGTTATGCTCAAAGTATTTCTCCAGAACAGTCAACTGCAAGCCAAACAGCTCATCCTTGTCATACAAAACACACTCTTCTGGATTAACCCACTGTCCATTCTGATTTCCCATTGGAATCCAGATACTTTTGTCAGCCGTGCTATTCGGCTCCCACTTAAACTCACTCAAGTAACTGTATACTCGAACAAAAGTGGACAATTCATCACGAAGAGCAAGCTGGCTGGCAATCAAGGGACATCCTTTGTCCACTTCAACAATCACCTTTATTGCAGAGAGCTCTTCTCTGTATTTTGTAATTTCAGAACCATAAAATTCTTCATCAATGAAAGAGCCATCAGTCTGCGTTAGATACTCGCCAAACTTGGAATCAAACAACAAGCACCTGCTCGGAGGCCTGTAACCATCATGAGTCTTCAGCCATGCCTGAGAAACTTTCTGGGGGAACACATCAGGAAAGGAGTTATCTTTCTCCTCCAATAAAATATGTATGCAGTCCAGCAAAGCAAGTGCATTTTCTGGAGAAATGCTCCTCGGATTCTTGGGAAGATATAGATAAGAAGGCACAAACTTGACCCCATCCTTGAATTCCACAACGACCCCCAAGCTCTTCAGCTCTTGCTTATATTCATGAATGTTCTTGCCATAACAAGTGTCAGAATCGTCAATAAAAGGGAGACGGCATATGGGAGAGAGAGATTCCCAGTCAGAACAAAACAGAATGCACTCTCTTGGAGATCTATAATCACCAAGGCGAGTACGCAGCCACTTTTCTTTGCAAATGCAGCTTTTAAGATCTGCAGGAAATTTAAAAGGAGTTCGCTCCAGCTTTCTGTAACAGGACAGTAATGATTCTACATTTTCTTTGGTGATGGAAGCCTGCCGGAAATGGTGAGCAAATACTTTTGCAGCCTCTTCAAAATCAACGACCACCCCTATCCTTCTCAACTCATCACTGAAGGAAAAGATTATGTCTCCATACAAATTATGATCAATCAATGGGACACCACTAAAGACCTGAAGAAGGCAACCCCATTCGGGGTGAAACAAGAGACATTCACTTGGAGACTTGTAACCATTATTTGTCTTCAGGCATTTATTTCCTCTCAGTGCTTCGACAATCTTATTGGATGAATTTGAAATGTGCATAATTTGCAGCATTAGTAGAACAGCCTCAGGTGCCAGAGAAGTTAAGCATGACGGTGACTTTAGGTGGTCCACAACAAGCTGGTAATATTTGTTGAACGAGACAACCACACCAAGCAACTCAAGTTCTGTTTTGAAATCAAGGATTTCTTCACCGTATACCTCCTGATCAATGAAGGGAATGTCACTAATTTTGGATGCAATTATCCACTCTTGGTCAAACAAGACAGATCCATCAGGAGACCTGTAACCATGAGATTTTGTTTTAAGCCATTGTCCTTTTCTGATACTGCGGATGAAATCGTCTGGGGGAAGACATTTGTCCCTCAAGAGCTTGATAAAATGTAGTATCGAAAGTACGTTGCCTCTAGTTAAAGTGGACGAAGCTGCCAGAGACATAAGATGCTTCCCAATAAATTCACATGCTTCTCCAAATTCAAACATCACTCCAATTGTTTTCAGCTCCTCCTTGTAACCATCAATTCTCTCACCATAATAATTCTTATCAACCAATGGGATATCAACAAAAACGGATCCATTCTGCAAAATGTTTCCCCATGATGGGGCAAGTACAAATGACTCCGAAGGTGGCCTGGACACAGAAAATCCCTTCAAAGTAACTTTCAACCAACTACCTTCCTTTATACATTTCAAGAACTTCTCCGGGATGTGAACCCTTTGATATCTCAGATGGCGAATCCAGTCCAAAAGCAAGAATACCTTTTGTATACTAAGTGTTGCAGATACAGCTGGAAGACAGGCATTGGGAGCAGAAATATAAGGGACATCCGAAGCTCCAGCATGATCTTTGAGGAACTCAAGGAGCTGCTTCTGTTCTGTAATTTGACCTGCAAAGCGGCCTGGATTCATGTAATCTTCTCCTAACTGAACAAAGCCGTCTTCTTTCCACAGATTCGAATCAGTAAACCCCGCCCATTTGCTTTCGTTGGCAGGGACAATAACTCCTCTCCTTTGTCTGATGACGTCCCCATAGTTATCCACGAGTGGCATCTTACCACATAAATCAACAATTTCAAGATCAGAGATATAGCTCTTGCAGACTGAATGATACAAAAAGTGGGCATATGCAATAGCAGGTTTCCGTTCAATACCATGAGACTTATAGAGGCAAACTGCATATTCATGTACATTTACAGCTGCAACCTTCATTTCTTCCGCAAGCCATTTCACCAACTTGTCCTTGTTAGAACATGACTGGATAGCTTCCTGGGTTCCTTTCGGCATAAAAAGAAGACTTGCCGCAGATATAAATTCCCTGTTCCAGTCAATCAGCCATGAGACATGACAAGAATGACGGGATAGGCAAACATTCTTTTTACCAGTCTGCATTGAGCTCAAGCTGCACAAAGATACATCCTCATCAAGATCCACATATTTTATCAGTGGTATGTTCTTGATGTTGGTGCAGAGAAATTTGGGCCACCAATTATCAGCAATAAACAGTAGAAGTTCCAAGTACACATCTTCTGACACTCCAACTACCAGATTGGAACTCTGAATGCATTTAGCATACCATTCATCATCCACTGGTTCAACTCCAAGGAAACTCAGAATGTGATCATACTCCTCTTGGTCAAATGAATGACACAAAACATATTTTCCATGGGAAGAGAGATTCGGCAAGCTTGCCCCTACTTCCCTTGCCTTTCTCAAAACATTCCAAAAAGCAGGCAATAACCTACCCACTTCACGAGGTTTATGGAAGAACTTCTGCTCCTTGTGCGGCTCACATGGTACAATATCTTCCTCCACCAGCTGTGCTTTGATCGACTCCCTCACAACATTCAATTCATAATAGTGAGAGCTCTGGACAGGTAAGAACCTGAAAAAGGGAGGCAAACTAGATACTGGCCCATCTTCTACAGTTCTCACGAGCGAGAGAAATGCATTAATAAATGCAGAGGGCACACAGTTCAGAATTCCTTGATTCCACTTCTTACCCAATAGAATATTTTCTCTTGATGATGCTAAAAGAAAATCTGCCTGAATTATGAAAGGCAAATTTGTAATCATTTCGGTGGGAAGGAAAGCATAGATCCCAGGTGAGCTTGTTCCTCTATTAAGGCGTTCTCCATATGGAAATGCTAGCGTGATCACCCACTCATCTACCTCCATTCTCTTCTCATCTCTGCAGTCTTGCTTGACAGGAAACTTCTGCTTCCACATATAATAGCTGCATTCAGTTTCCAACTCATTACCATTTTCTTCTGCAGAGAGATGGAGCGTGTAGGAATCAGCATCAATGTTCTTCCGCGTCTCAAAATCAATCTCACTTGATATTGCTATCGCGGTTACAGTGTTGAGCTTTGGATCCTCATTAACTTCCCTAACCGAGAGCCGCTTAACCTTTGCAAGGAATAAGAGAACTTCAGGGTGCATTTTAGAGAGCTGCTGCTTCACAGGTTTGACCTTGTCAGGCTTTAGAGGTAAGATCAGTGTTGTAGTTGGAAGGGCAGAACCAGAACCATATATCTGTCTTATGTCAGACGGAGTTGGGTTTTCCTCAACCCATTCAGGAACAATGTACCCAAGATTGCAATGCATACAAGGCTCTTCACTGAACCTTATCTGATAACCATTACTAAAAATGTAAGGCTGAGCTGTGATCAGAAACACGCTCTTGAAGCCAATTCCTGTAGATAAAAGATTCAAATTTTACTCCCTTATAACTCACATCATTGCTTCAAATAGAACACCTATATATCTTTCACCTAGGAATAATAGTTGACCTTTTAAATGGAAAACTGTCTTAACCCTCTTAATTAAAAGATCCAGACAATTATGGGTATTTGATAATCATATGCACTTGTGAGGTGAGTTTAACAGATTTCTTAATCTACTAAAATCACCAAATTATTGTGTATTTCTCCAGTCATGGGAAATGTAAACCAATGGATTTATTGTCTGATCTCTATGTCAAGATTGGTAGGTAATACAAGCTTTCCCTATGACCAATATTCTTGGAGAAGCTATATAACATATGCCTGTTTCTGGAGTCAAAATAAAGCTTAACCAAGCATGTTGAGAAGGTAGATTTTGAGTAAAGTCACCAAATTCTGTGAAGCTCCATACATTTTTGGAAGGCCTAAAGCTAAAAAAATCAGCAGTGACATTAACTATTGACACACTAGATCACAAGGTACTGATGTACACATACCTTTCTCCCCAATATAGCCCTGATTCCGGTTGCCTTTCTTTGTCGACCGTCCAATACCGCAAATAGACTCTATGTTTGTAGGAGAAAATCCCTTCTCATTATTGAAAACAAGCAATGTGGCAGGAGCCCCTGTGCCGGTTATATCCCGGGACGTTATGACAAACTCAAGTGATGGATTAACCCCCTCTAAGTACTGATTATCTTCTGCATTCTGTAAAGTAAATTTAACCATTATTGTTGTTTGAATTAACTTGAATTAACCTATAAGAAACGAAACTACGACTGGCAACTGTATATAGTTGCTTTTAATCAAGGATATCACCCAATGATATGGATTAAGATTCACATACAAATACAGTACTATCACATAACTCTAGTAACTTGAATCAATCAAAACATTGAGAAATTTAATACCATCTTAATCTATGTAACCTTTTAAAAGTTCAACTTTACCAAATTAAAAGCTTAAAATTAACCCTTCAAATATGTTCTCCAGCACACTAATACCTACATGCATGCGCATACAAACACACATATATTCCTTAATTTCTCTTCAAAAAGCATTTAGTTTTCAAGTGAAGAAGGGGATGACCAAGTAATGAAACAGAAATCATGGAGATCTGAGTTCCATAACCTTGTTATGTACTGAACTTCAACACCAAACAAAACCCATCACGGGGATTTAGTATTTTTTCAGTGAAAGGTCTATACATGCATACATCCGCACATATATATATATATATATGTATGTATGTAGGAATGTGAATGCAAACCTGGATGAGTTCCATGAGAAAGTGGACATCTTTAGAATAGAGCTCAGCAGAGAGATGCTCGACAGCTTGGTGAAGATCTCCAGATAAAGGGTTGAGTTCCCCTCCAATGGAGAACTTTTTCATGCGTATTTGTTCTATGTGCTCTCTCGGTGTCGCCATTTTCCGTACGGTCACAAACCCAAAGGCACAACCTTTACAGAGAAACAGAGAGCAAGCAGAGAGAGAATAAACAGAGAGAGTAAACAGAGAGTCAGAAATGAGGGAGGGAAATGAACACAAACTAAAATGACAAATGACACTAAACTAAGGTTACATGTTATGAAAATATGAAGAGAGTGGTGAGGAAAATGTGGAGGAGGCTTTCTTTTTTGCTTTAAATTCTATTTAATTACTATTATAAGTCTATTGTATTAGTTTTTATTTCTTTTTTATTGGAAGTTCGTTAAAAATGTTCTCTTAAATAGTAGTATGATAAATAAGATAAATTATATTTTATTTACCAATATAATAAACAAATAGGCTCGTTTGAGAGTATTTTGAATAACCCAATAATCATTTCTACGAAGAATCACTTTTAAGTGATTTTAAATAATTTTATAAAAAAGCCCTAAGCCGTGTTGAGGAAGTAAATGACAATGCAAACAGTACAGAGGAGGAACTATTCAGGAATAAAAAAAAGTGAAAAGACAAAAGAAAACAAAGCCAAACATTACTGAAATGCAAAGTAAGTAGTGTATAGATAGAGAGAGAGTGAGTGACAAGGAAAAACATGTACGAAAAGCAACACTGTTAGTGGGATTTGTACGAAAAGCAAGACTTTGGATGAGCTTTGGACGCTGATTCGACCATCTGAGTCTTTGTTTTGAATCTTTTTAAGTCTTTAAGAATCTAATAACAAACACCTTTCGTCAGCCAAACGACAAAATGGAAAGACTTTGGCTCCAAGTCTCTTCGCACGTACGCAGTCTACTTCAAACTAGTTTCAACCAAATATAAAAGCATATGCAACCAAATATGCATAAAAACGCAGGGATAACTGAATGGAAGGCTTACTTTTCTCTCTCTTCTTAGACAGTCTCCTCTACTAGTTTCCGAAGAAGCGTGGGTAATTTTCGTCCTTACAATTTTATGTTACTGTTTTTTTGCATTTTTCAGCCCAACTACCCAATTAAAAACAATAACACGAGTAACAATATTATTGGTGATAAATATGACACAAGTCAGGACTTACCCAAGTGCGTGGATGATCATGTGACTTGTGAAGGCAATATTGTTCATTTACTTATTAGTCAATGATCATTTAGTTTCGTGGCTTATAATTTTTTAACACGAGCAATAGTCTAAACTACAGTATATGAGGAGGGGATTCTTGTAAGACATTTACTTGTCTTAAATCACCTCATATGGTCTTCTAATCACATGAGCTTCTTGTGATTAAGTGTGGTGAATTATATTATTACTTGACAAAGGGTAATGGTTTGCTTGATTCACATGAGCTTCTAGAACATAATAAATCCAACTTGTTAAATTTATGCCTTAACCAGAATAGATTGTAGAATTGGGTATATGATAGAAAAGAATCTTACACTTAAGGAAAATTATGGTCTAAGTGCCTAAAAAGAATTTAGATACGGGAATTATAGTGTAATCCTGGGAGCAAATTTGTATTCTAGAGGACTAAATTCTCAAATTCCCGTAGCAAATTTGCCCAACATATAGTGCTTTGTACTTATGTTTTCTTTATTGAAGTACATCATGATTGCATAACCGACGCTTGTTGATTAATAAATAAAATATTAACAGTTGGGTTTGGATATTATTGAATCAAATCGAAAATCAGTTTGCTTCGAGTATGATTTTGGATTAGAATTTGGATAAAGTATGGTTTAGATTTGGATTCGAATTAGGATTTTGACAAGAATTACCCACCAAAAGGGATTGTCGGCAACGAAACTTAAACCTAAACCTTGATAGTGAAGAGAATGATCCTTACTAATTTAACCAATTCTCGTTAGCCTGCTAAATCCACTTTTGCAAATATATATATCAACGAAATTCACTATCAAATACATAGGAAGGGAGAGTAGGAATATTCAAGGATGTGAAGTTTGTAGGGCCTTTGAAGGGGATGGTGGTGATTCAAAGGAGCGTTGTGCCATTAGGGTTACTAATAACAGAGAACTAGGTTTGCCTTCATTTCCAATCCCTTGTACAATTCTGACTCGGTCAACTTTTACACAATTCCTTGCGCCCTTGCGTTTTGACACACTCCTTCACTCTCGATCACCTATACAAATTGTAATATAATATCAAACAAAGTGAAAGTAAATTAAATAGCTGTGCTTAGGAAAGTAAGGTAAACGCATGACAGAAAACCAAGGAGTAGTATGGGATATGATCTTAACTAACTTTTTTCTTTGAGGGAGGAATAGCTCGAAGGAAAATGTTAGGGAGATCACATTTTATAAAATACCTCTCAATTTTTTTCTGTTTCCTTTAGGCTTAAGTGAGTCAAGATGGAAAACTAAGTACGATTAAATACTAAATAAGTGAAAGTTAGCCTTCAATTCCCTTAGAAATGAGAGGGAGAGCTTGACATACGGCCAATTTCAGACAGAGATATCATAATATGAAGTAGATTAAAAACTAATTCTATGGAGCAACAGTTAGGGTGGGTGCGTGCGTACTCATGAGAAAACGACGCTAAAAATGGCGTCGGTGTTCAGGAGAAACGACGGCATTCTATCTAGCATCTGTAGAAAATGCATTCGAATAGAATGTCGTTGATGGCAAAAGCATTGCATGCAATTCAAGAGACGTGGGGATTTTGAAGACATTTTTTTATGAGAGAACATGAACTAAACTTGCTTGACCTGAAAATGGGTCGGATTCATTTGAAACAAGTTTGGGTTAACTAACTTCGAATGTGGAGCCAAGCTCAGGTTAATTGGAGTCCACACAAACACGCAGGCCCAGCTCGTCCAAAATGTCGGACCGAGTTCACCCAACTAAAACCATCCAAATATTAAACCAACCCGACTCATAATCAGTCCTCGCTCACTCTCACTATCAGGTAGTTTTTTCTTTTTTGATACAAGGGATAATGGCAAGGGAGATTCAAACTTAGGACATCGGGTACAAAAATAACTGTTCTTAACAACTTGAGTACCTATATGTAGTAGTCATAAAGAAATTAAGCACTTGGTTTGAAATACTGTACAGCATAAGTGGGACTCGATTTCACTGAATATACCGGTGAGTCCTTTTGGGGTTCCTGTTGTGTAGATTCTACAACGAAACACTTATAAGGGTTAATTACAACAAATGGGGGAACGGTGAACAATGGAGAAAACAAAAAAACTTGCATTCAAAAACCAAGCTAAGCTTGACAGAGAAAACCCTAATTCAAGGGACCAAAAAAGATGATTGACATTAAATGATTCTCTCTCTACCTTCACCTTTCAAAAAACGCTCAGAAATCGGTTATTTACCGTTAAATAATAAATTCATCGAGAGCCCTATTGAGGAAGGCTTGAATGCCTGGATCAACTTCCGAGATGGAGCTATGCGGGGGTCGTCTCTATTGGTTTTCCTCCTCCTCGAAGGCCCCCCAATGGCTCCCGTGCTTTTAGCAGATGTAGAAGATTTTGTGTTAAAGATCACTGATCCAAATGAAGCATCAGTTGTTGTGACAAATGATACTGGGCCTTTATGTGATGTATCTTGTGGGTATCCAACAGCTCCATCCTGATGTGGGGGTGGGAATTTCTCACTCTTGCTCTTGGCATTTGCTTGTGTCATCACTCTCCACCTCTGCAAATCAGCAAAGATTTGACTATAAGTTTGCTGAGAACAAGTGTCAATGAAGCCACAACTGCCACTGTTTACACACTGATTGTCCTTGTGGTGGTTACTCTTCAAAGCATAGCAATATCAAACAGAAGAGAAATTGTAGCTGATATGTGCATATAATGTTGCTCAACTTAAAATTATGTGATGATTTTGATACCGTCAAATCAACCACTTAGTAGTGAAAGAATTTTAACATGCCCAAAAAGATCATTACCATATTCTACTAATCAAGTGGGGTGCATGCTAAACAAACAAACAAACTTCAAACGTCAGGATCAACTTAGAAGTCAAAACCCAAACCTAAAGGCTAAATCCAGATTCATGTTAGCATACTATAACGAAAATAAAAAAGAACTATCTGTGACACTGAGAAAGGTAAGATCTGCGATTTCAGAACTTTGAAAGAGCCCACATGACATTCGAGAAATAATAAGGTGGGATTTAGGTCTGGGTTCAGGGTTTACTAATATAAAGGAGTGGGGTGGGTGAGAATGCATATAAATAAGTGGTGTGTGTGTGTGTGTGTGTGTGTGTGTGTGTGTGTGTGAGAGAGAGAGAGAGAGAGAGAGAGAGGCTTCACGTACATCTAAGTTTCCTGGAATCTCTGCATTAGCTTCTGGAGCTGGAATTGCCCGACCGACTCGTTCACGAGCTTTAACTCTTCTGGGACCTTCAGCAGCATTAGGTTTCCCACTTAGACCTCTTTGCCTGAGGACAACAAATATCATCTGTCAAGATATGCCAAAATGAGTCCAGAAAGCATCAAACATGAAGAAAAGTAAATGAGTAACCTTCTAGCTTCTTCATCTCGTAACTTTACATCCATTTCTTTGGTGGGAGGATATTTTGGTAAACTTGATGGCTCACAAGCAAAAGGCTCCGTAGTGAAGAACTGTACCCAGATCACAAAATACCAATTAAACACAACAAAAGAATTTGGCACACCATCATGTCAATTTCTGGTAAAGAACACAGTTGCACTAAGCCCTTGCTAACTCCCAGAGAGTGATATATGTTTCTTTTGACAAGAAATACAACTTTTAAGAAGACTTCTCAGCAGATGGTACATGTCACAGAGCCCTGGAACTAATTAACCATCCTTGCGATTTATTTTGCTTTTCTTTACTTTTTCTTTTGGTGGGAGATCATGTTTTTCTTTTCAAAATATAAAACCCAGCTTCACATTATTGTTTCCTCAGAAAAATTAAAATCAAATAGAGAGCACTTACTTCGCTATTGAGAGCAGTGGTGGCAGTGCCTCGTCCGTCAGAATCTACTGATAGAAGAGATTCGATCAAAGGTAGTGAAGAAGCTGGGAAATCCTTGAATGCTTCTGCTACACAACGCTTATATGGCTGCTGTGGCTTAAAAAGTGTTGCATTTGGCAATTTATATTTTTTCCAATATTCCTCAGATGGGGAGCCACATAACTTAAATATCTTGTGCAGTTGCTCAACCTAAACAGGAAAATAATTCAAAAGGTGTTTGTCAAACTGAAAATCATAGATTGAGCAGAAAATAATAGCAATAACATCACTCAAGAAGATTAAGAAACCGGACTTCAAAATGTATACAGAGACAAGAACAACATCTCACAAGAACTGCTGTATTTTACTTGTAGACTCACAAGTAGAAGTGGACCAAATGAAGACACAAAATTGTTTCAAAAGAGTGTAGTAGTAGATCATTATTCAGGAATCGGGAACAATTGAATAACCGGAACAGAACTTTCAAGAACTGAGAACCTAAAGAGAAGGGCAACTATAAAACAAAGCAATTATAAATACCTCTGTCCGTCCTGGCATAATAGGCTTCCCAGAGAGTAACTCTGCCAAAATGCAGCCAGCACTCCAAAGGTCAACACCAACTCCGTAGAAAGTGGCCCCAAGAAGAAGTTCAGGTGGGCGGTACCAGAGAGTGACAACTCGACTAGTCATGTGTTGCTTCTGCTCAGGATCAAAAAATGTAGCCAGTCCAAAATCAGCTATTTTTAAAATGCCTTCATTGTCAATTAACAGATTGGATCCCTTGATATCACGGTGCAAGACACCATGGTTGTGGCAATGCTCAAGCCCAGATAGCAGCTGTTTCATATAGCACTTGACCTGCCACAGAGAGTATCTTGAGAAACAAATCAGCCTTTCAATGTCAAAATTCTATGTATGTGCAATGAAGAGCTGGACAAATCAGATTCAAATGGTGCAGGAAGTCACCTACTACAAGCCTACCAACAAAGATGCTAGCTTACTTTCTGTAAGATACAATTCTAAGCCCATTCATCAATTTTTTCCAGTGCCCATTTAATCCCATATATTATCTAAGATGGTTATCAATTGTTTTGTAACATAAGTGAAATAGTTAATCTTTTGTGAACAAAATTTTGACATAACCACCGCACAGGTGTCTGTTTAATCTATTTTCCTTTCCTTCAGAAAAAAGGAAATAAATGTAAAAATAGCTTGACTAAACCAAGTATTTGAGCAATGTTGATCTCACTCGAGTTTCGAGTTAACTTAAGCTGCAGATAATGGAATTTTAAATTCAACTTCTTTCTTCCCATGTAATCAAAACAATAAAAAGCTAAAGAAATTCCTTTCTTCCCCTCAGCTTCGAAGCAATCCCACCTTTTTATCTACGTTTAATAGAGTGATGTGAGCAAACCAAAATTTTGCTGAATTTACCTACCCCATCATATGACTTGCCCTTTGCATAAAAATTAAAAATCTGGAAGCTCAAACTACCAGGTATGGGACCCAATCCAGCCTAGAAAGGAAGGTCCCGGGTAACATCAAAAGCTAAAAACAAGCAAAACAAAAAAGACAACCAGGGCCACATGAATTCAAGAACCAGCGTGGCCAAACAAAGGCGAAGTAGACAACACATCCAAACGCATAAAAACAATCTCTGGAAAGCAGACAGCAAAATCTAGCTCAACCACCATGAACCAAGCAACAATTCATAGAAATCTCACAGTCTACCATTAAACAACAACCCAAATGAAAATTAGCAAGATAAAGCTTCAATCACCGATAGAAACTAAAACCAAAATGTACCTGAGGCTCAGTGAACTTGACCCCCGAGGAAGCGGCAAGGCCAGAGAGATCGTGCTCCATGTACTCGAAAACCAAGTAGAGGCTGCAAGACATTCTTGAAGTGACCAAACCTTCAAGTTTAATAACATTGGGATGGTCAAGCTTTCTCAGCACATTGATCTCTCTGGCCATGAATTTCACACTCTCTGGCTCCAAATTATCAAACCTAACCTTCTTTAAAGCCACAATTTTCCCAGTAACCAAGTCTCTTGCTTTATATACATTGCTATAAGTCCCTTGCCCAATCTGAACAAAAAATATATATTTTCAAAAAACGAAAAGGAATTAGATAAACCCGAAGAGTTGAAGTCATGATTTTGAGCACCTTAGCGAGCTTCTCAAAAGTGTTGGCGCGACGAGGGGTCCAACCCTGGATCGCGTCGCCGGCGACGGCCAAGAGCCACGAAGGCCAACCCTGCTGGTTCGCCGGGAAAGGTTTCCGGCGCTCGATCGCCGGAAAGTCGCCGGTGTGATTCTCCCTCTGCCTTGCTACCGCCTCCTTCCTATCATCCCTGACAGCCTCCACTCCGGAGGGCGCCTCGATACTCCGGCGACGGTGCCCAGCTCCGACGGATCTTCGGCGATCTCCGGCGGCCTCCGTGCCCAAAACGCAGCCCATCGTCTCAGCTCCCGAAAGTCCGGCGACGCATTTGGGAATATGTAAACTACTCAGGCGATGGCAGTCCGGCGTCGTTTAACCGCTGACGGTTAGTTCAAGGCCGTCTAGTGTATTGGATTGTATCTGTGGCTTAGATAAACTCGTCTCGCTTGGCGCCGACGTCGTATCTGGAAATGAAATTGAAACCGCGGCGGGAGGCGGCGGTTTTACAGGTGAGTGGTGTACGGACAAACAAAGAGAAGTAGATAGCGAGAGAGGGCCTAAGTTGGCGTTTTTGATTCAGTTGGGAATCAATTACTGATGAGCTTCAGTGTCATCGCAGTGAGAGAGAGAGAGAGAGTCTTACTTGTCCGATGGTGTAGATATTGCGTCATGGTTTTTGGAGTTAATTACGGAAATGCCACGGTGTTGGGGATCTAATTGTCTGCAAATTTACGATTTTTACCGCGGGCGAGAGAGAGATAGAGATAGAAAGAGAGGCGCAGAGGGAAAGGAGAAACGGAAAGAGAAGATACTGATTGCTGACATGAATGTAAAAATTGGGAGTTGGGATTGGGACCCCAAAAGTCAAACCCAGAGAAGAAAGCTACTTTTTGACACGGCTCTAGGGTCAGGGTCAAGTTCCTTTTTTTTTGTAACAACAAATTATACCATCTAACATTTTGACTCCTTGTGTACAATAAGAATCATATAGTTTTTAGTCTTCTAGGATTCCCATTAAAATATCTGTGAAATCATAGTTTTTAGAAAAGTAGATGCATGATTTGATTAGACTATTATGATTAAAATTGAGTAATTAACATTTTTATCTTTCGGCCCCTAAATTGTAGTGTGGATAAGGAAAGTACGTACATCGTCCGTTTGACTTCTTATTGATACTTTTTTTTTTTTTTTTACGATGATGAATGAAAATACAAAATTAAGAAATTATGGTATCGTTTAACCATTTGATCACAATTATTATCATTTCATTTTAATCGACCACATTGTGTACAACAATTTGTGATTTAGTTCACTTTTTAATTAAAGAGTGTCAGATACGATCAATGTCTCTAATTATTAAAGTGCATTGCAAGGTGGTCGAGAAAAAGATGTTATCACTTTTCTTAGTAGACATCCTCATTGTAGGGTATAGATCAACTTATAATTTAACTATTATAAGTGAGTAGAAAAGTATAGCTTCGTTACGTCCGAGTCCCAAATTAGAACTTGTTCAAATCCCCACTACTCCACTGTCATTTGATTTTAAAATGACTACTTTAGACGCTACCCACGAATTAATCCCACTCCAACCTATTGCGTCTTGAACCAAATCTACAAGATTTGTTCTTTCGGTTTTGGAGGGCTGAATTATTTGGTCTAGGGTGAAAGGGATAAATAGCAAATGAGATTAAACTCAGTTCTAACTACCCCACCGAACCTATTAAAAAAGGGTATGGTAGGTTAGATTCTTACATTTATTACAGAAAACATAGAGAGGGAGCAAAACTTGCAGTTGAATTCAAGTACAAGGCAATGGTGGCAGGCAACAAAGTTTGTTAGCTTGTGTTGATTGTGGAGAAAGAAATTTCAACACAATAATTTTATTAATTTTCTCACCAACTTTTGTGATTTAGCTAAATGATCTATCTAATTAACTAATTATGATTAAGCAACACATCAAATGGGTCTTAATATTTTATTAAATAAATAAGTATAAGAGTCAAAGAAAATGAAGGTCAAGTTTATTGTGCCGTGCTTAAATGGAGAATTGACCTGTCATTGACTAGAAGATTCAAAATCTTAGAACATAATAAAATGGCAAACAAAGGACAAAAGTTCTATGCCAAAGGTCTTTCTAGAAACATCAAACATTGCATTCATTGCTCGTTGAATTTAATTTTCCTTGCTGCATTTTTGAGTTAGGTAGAATGGCAAATTAATAAAAATATGTTGGATGGTAAAGTGACCTCATATCAACTTCATGCATCGGTTGAAGCAATGAGTGTGCTCAACAAACCTTGGTTCTTTTAATTTTTAATTTAATTTCTCACACACACCGTTGATGTGTCATGAAGTTCGAACATGAGACTAATGATATGCAAATTAGATCATTTTTCACTGAGCTAGACTCTATTGGCTTCTTAACATATATCTTAAGTGAGACATATCATAAAATCTCGTATTTAAAATATTATCAAACAACTTACCCTTAATTTGTATTTATCTTATATTTTATGGAAATAGAGATCTAAACATATATATATGTATAT